GCTTTCAATTAGCTCCAGCTTTCAGAGTCAATTGCGACATTCACCGTTAAAAGGAAATACCGCCAAAGCGTAAGAGAAAGGAAACCAACGACAAAATTACCGTGCAAACTTGACTGGGGCCAGGTTTGTACAGACAAAGCGTATGTGATTGACAATTTCTGAATTTCTGAAATAGGCATCAGTCCATTTTCTTCCACGCAATACGAATGAACGACCATTGCGCCAAACATTTACCAGGCGTGTACAAAACATGACGAAGTGCTACAGTATGTTAATCAACTTTCCGCTCATAAGTTTACAGTACTTTAATGAAAAGAAGAATTTTGTTTTATTGTACAGAATGCTGGCAACGTTGAGCGTTTGCAGATACCTTTTAATTTTATTTTCAAGCTACGCATTGTCCTTAATCAGATAAATTAGTTTTTCATGTAGTCGTAAAATGTATGCATAGCATGGCCGCGTTTCTTGGTTGCCTTGACATCATCACACTGGAGCATTGTCTACATTAGTGACAAGGCAATGATTTATTAGCCATTTCTCTGCTGATTACATCGAAGCATGTTGGGGTAGGCAAGTTTATATATAAGGAAAAAGTTTTCGACAGAAAATTTGCTATAGACAGTATGCAAACATTCTACTGAACCGAAAGAACTCGGAGCCGATCTAAGGCCTATCAAGGAAATATATCGCTTGACTGTTGCCAGTTAGGCGGTTACCAGTGCGTTGATATCTTAGAGTTATTAAAATAAATTCTAATTTCTGACTGTTTCACAGGTCATTTGGCAGTTTACTTGCGATTCCAACAACTTCAGTCACAAATACAGTATTCTGTACTTTATCACACGTGTTTGTAATTTACTTGACCTGTCATAGCAGTTTCTTTTGTTTTTCAGCATTAATATCTTATATTATTGTATTAACTTCCTATATTTGTGTTGTATGATTTGCCTCTTTACGTTCTAAAGCCGCATTCTTTTAAAAAGGTGCTTAAATTGTTTTTTTTTCAACTCGCACAAGTGGGTATTGCAACTTTAGATGGTTTCTTTCAGCTTGAAAAGTCGTTTTTAATACGCAATGTTTACATTTGCAAACACGAAATCACCGCTTCGCAGGTGACTGGATCATCCTACGCAATATTGCGTTAAATTAAATTCTAACCATCATTTAAAATGTTGTGAGCACTTGTTAAACGATCTTGCATTGTCTCAGATAGATGCAGTGATCTCGTAAGCTTATCGTACGTAACAGTAGACATTCACCTTTCACCAAGCATTTTTCCATCCTTTGAAACTTTCACTAAATTCCACAACTTTAACCCTGAATTCTCAGCACACAAATGAATGCTGACCACAAATCTAGCTTAGCGCAGTTTATAACTGTATGCATGAAGTTTTTGAAAATGACTTGTATGTCTTACTTAAAGTGGGTCAATTTGCGTTTTTCAATGATTCTGTTCGAAAATTTGACTTAGCATGGACAGTTTAGCATATTACTGCGAAAAGGCATTTGCAGACCAGTTGTTGAAGTATCACTGTTAACAAACGTAGTATTACTTTAGACAATATATGATGTAGCTTGCATGCAGTACTGCAGGTGTTTGAATAGCATGATGCCCTTAATGGCTCTCTAGACCTCCAGGAGTAAGAAGCAACGTCACCGTGAAGCTCAGCTTAGCACAGTAACGCACCTACAAGGAAACTACCCATGTATAAATCGGTCTGCCACGCAAAATCAAGATATCGCAATTGCCCATTTTACTTTTTACGTGAGCTTAAGTTTATAGACTAATATTGCCCTCACCT